TGTTGGGCAGCGAAGACTACAGGGCGGGCAGACGTGGGTAGCGATAGTAGCAACAGGAATGTGTTGCAAAACTGCGTCAAGTCGGAAAGCATATCAAGGGATAGAGGATTGGATCCAGAAAAATCATCGCAGAGTCGGCTTGCTTCGGCAACGAAAAAGGACGCAGTCCATGGCATTGACTCGGGCCAGAGCTCGCGCCCATGGCGAAGTAAACGGGTCGTAATGATCTTGAGCTCCGACCAGCTTATCGATTCTGATTGCGCAATACGACCAACGTGCCTCATGACGATACCAAGAGCAGGTACTCTGATGTGCTTGCGACGTAGGAACAGTAGAAGCAGGAAAAGAGGTGGTATCTCGACCCCTTGTTCGAAGCATTTGACTGCTGCAGTCGATCGCGGTTCTGTGAGACAAGACGCCCATCGTTGAACACTTTCTACCGTGTAGCCTCGATTTTGTAGTATCTCCAGCTCCCGCGGTGTATATTGGAACGTCGACTCATCCGTTGCCATTTCTGTAAGATGTTGGAGATATCGGGCAAGAATCGAGTAAAGGGAGACAGGTTCAGGAAGCAGCTCGGTGCTAACTGAGGGTACAGGCTTCGGCTTGCGTCCTCGCAACGCAGAGCGGGGCGCAGTGTAGGATAAATCAGTCGCAGTGGGCGGCGAAACGAAGTAGAGGTTTCTAGCCGAGCGATCCATTGATTCCAGGACTGTCGCAGGTCTGCTGGGACGCTTGGCCTTCCTCGTGGCGCGGGACCATTGCGGTCGAAATCTACCATCCTCCTCTGCATCCTCGAGCGTGTCTAGGAACGGCGAAGAGGCGTCCGATGGAGCATCTGTACCTAGATCGCTGGAAAAGGCATCTATAGAACTCTCAAAGAAGGCGTTATCATTAGGGGTCGGTGCGGAGTAGTGCCTCGAAAGTCGATGAGGCACCTCATGGTGAGGAGAGGCTATACCGCGGAGGGGTTTGCGCGTCGCGGGGCGATGGGAGAGCAGGGACGCTGAAGGAATCTCGAGATGACATGTCGAAAGGAGTGATATGTCTCGCCATGGAAGATGGGTTATGGGGTTACAAGAATACTTGCAAAACATGTCAGCACAAAGTAAGCCTTGAACATGGCGTGCGGGCCTACCCAGTGCGGTAGGAGGCGCGTCACACGACGGCCGAAGCGGTACGGGCTACCTGGAGCTACCAAGGAGAGTACTAAGGGCATTCATCAGACGCAATAGACGTGGAGCGACGCGTGCGAAAACCAATTGCGGAGAGTTGTCGAGTGCAGTGAGAAAATCGTGGGTAGCTCATGCCCCATCGTCGCTAGCGCAGCATGCTACAGTCGCAAACCACCCGTGGACGACTTGGACATCGTCACCCAAAGGAGCGATAGGCGTGTGGAGAGCGAACACGCTTGAATTAGCAAACAGGAACTCAGGGGTCATTCAAAAGGAAAAGAATCACCATCGTCGTCAGCAGTTGCCAGGCAGTAATTGCTGCGGCACTCTGCGGCGTGGTCTTGGCGCTGCCCTTTGCGCGTTCCATTCATCGCTGCACTTACTTCCACCAAGCCAAGTCAACTTTGGACAGCCGCCAACCGCACGCCCAACCCCTAGGCACCATTTGCGCGTCACCGGAAGCCGTCTTGGACCCCGTCACGCGCCTCTCCAAATTTCAGCATCGCGCCTGCCGGTATCGCGGACAGGGCATGCTGTGAAGGAAGCCGCCGAAGCACGACTCCGGCCGCCCTGAGCGCGTTCCATCCCACGCCATCACTCGCGCATCGCCAACAGCACCCCAAAGTCACCATGGCCGCCGCCAACGGCACCCTCTCCCCGCCGTCGCTCCCCCAGGCGCCCAACTCGCCCTCTGCCGCCAAACGGAAACTCGCCGAGCGTCCTGCCATTGCCGTCAATGGCGCATCCACGCCTGCACCGCGAGAGAGCGCCGATGCCAGCGCACGCTCTCTGCAGGCAGTATTGGCAGACATACTGGCAGTTCTCAAGAGGTATGCCGCCTGCGAAGACTTCCCCGCTCCCGCGCGTTATCGACGTCATGCCAGCAGCCCATGCACGGCATGCGCTGGCTGGGCTTGTCCGCACCTCTGAGTCGCATGTTGACACTGAATAGCTACGACACCACACCCTCCATCTTATCGCATCCCATCACCTCGTCGATAACGCGATCAGCCTCTGGAGAAGCCGACTCGAAGCGCACCAAGCTGACCCCACCCAACGGCCCGGCGACCATCAGCAACCTGATACAAGACGGCTTGTACGACTCTCTACACGCGCTAGAGAAGGATGTCGAGAGCGCTACCACAGAGATTTTGGCGTCCAGCGGCCCAAGCGATTCGTCGGCAGCCCAGGCGTCGCCCCAAGACACAGCGCTGCAGGGCAAAGTGCTCGCCTTCCAGACCGTCCTGAAAAACCTGGTGGCTAGAGAAGGGTCGCGCAAAGCACCTGGTTCAGCAAAGCAAGCCAACGGCGATGGCGACGCTCCAGCCTCAGGAGAGGAGGGCACTCCGGTGCCGATCAAGGAGGAAGAACAAGACGCAGAGATACCCCAGAGCCGGACTGTTCTCACGCTGTACGGGAGCGCGCCGCCGAAACAGCTATTCTCCAGTCTACAGCAACCCCAGAAAATACCCCCCGCCCATGGAATATCCACGCTCGACACCGCCGTCAAGGTGACTCTACCCTTGCGCGAGACGAACCTCCCCAACCTCATCTCAACGACAGAGGTATACCCCATCCCAGAATCAGATATCAAAAAGAAGGTTGCGACTATTGGGGAGGTCTTCCGTGCACCTGCCCACTTGCCACAGATCAGTCCCCCCAAGTCTGCCCGACCGACAACGAGCAAAGGCAACAGCACCATCACCTTTGCGCACCAGGAAGCGCCCAAGCCTCGTCGCAAGGGCTCCCAGTCGCACGCGCATCAGAGCTTGTCTTCTGGCTTTTGGCTTGGGTATGCTGGCGTAGATATGCCGAAAGATCAGACCTCGCCAACAGCGAAGCAAAAGAGCAGACAGCGGGCGTTGAGCATGGGCGAAGCGCAGCAACCACCGTCCGAGGCAATTCTTGTTGCAGTCCAACAAGCCAAGGAAGATGCCTTGTTTCGCAGTGCTTACTCTAGCTTTGCGCCAACTCGGGATGACAGCTCCGCTATTGTTCCAGAGGAGACTAAGAATATGGTTTGGTGGCAGAAGGTTGGTGAAAAACGCTTCAACGAAATGTTCCCGATCGACCCAGCTCTACTCGACCCTGAGCAGGCCAAGCAAGCACTTACTAACGGGACCACCGATGAGGATGAATTATTCAAAGAGGCGGTCGAGAACTTCACCCCGGTTCAAGGAGACGTGTTACCTGGGATGGAGGAAAAGACCGAGGAGGAGAAGGATACAGACGAGGTGCTCAAGGAGATATCGGAACTTCTCGAGACACTGGCCTCGTACCAAAGGATACGAAATCTCTTCCTCACAACCAACCCACGCACTCCTGTTGTACAAAATGCTTCACTCGCGACCCTGGCCGGCAGCCCGTCAACACCCTCGTCGGAAGAGTTCGACGTCTATCAGATACTAAAGTCACAGCTCACCTTGTTGATTTCGCAGCTTCCGCCGTATGCAGTCGCCAAACTCAATGGGGACCAGATGGACGAACTGAACATCAGTCGAACTATCCTGTTCGACACCAAAGAGTACAAAGGCGTCTTGGAGGAGGATCAGCTATCGAAACTTGCAAAGACACCAGGAATGGCTGCTGCAACGCCGGCTACGCTGGCGCGAACGAGTTCTGGAACCAACGCGCATTATCCCGCAGCTGGGCACCAGTACAGCCGTCCAGCGCCGTCGGTGCCTCAGTCAGGCGCTCGTCCAGTGTACTCGCAACCACAGTCCCTCCACCGATCATCGTCGATGCACCTCCAACGCTCGCCTTCGGGTGCGGCGCAGACATTCCAACCAGGTGGCGCGTCTTATGCTCCCAACGCTCGGCCGGGGTACTCTGCAACCCCGTCCTACAACCAACAAACGCCGCGACCAAGCTATGGAACCACTCCTTCTGGTCAATACTTCCCGCAACGCTCGGCACAGCCAAGCAGCTACACGGGTGCTCCTGGCTCACAGTACTATAATTCTACACCCGCACAGGGCCAGAACCGTTATGCATCACAGCAGAACCAAAGCAGCTTCTACCCTCGCTCACAAAATGCGGCACCCATGTACAACGGCGCACAAGCACCGCCGCCACGGAATGTGTCACCCATCAAGGGCGCGCCCACACCATCGGCTTATGGTACACGGCCAACATATGGCACGCCCGTGTCTGGAGGGCAGATGCGCAGCACATACTACGGCCCTTCCCAATACGCAACTCCTCAGGCGCCTGGTGCCGCTGCTCCCTACAATGGCGCAGGCAGCAATCCTCAGCAGATGATGCTTGAAAGACAGCAAGCGCAGCAAGCACAAGCCCGGCTTGCGGCACAAAATAGTTTCAGTAGCAGTAGGCAGGGATCAGGGACGCCGCAGCCTCCCAACGGCTCCATGTATGGCGCTAATGGGGCCTCCATGTCGACCTAGAGTGTTTTGATGAGCGGACATGGATTTGCATGGTGTTCTGGATACCATAGATCAGCTTCTGGCGTTTCGGGCAGTAGCAACGAGCGGGAGGATTATCATTTCTGGACATGTTCTTGTTTAGCAGAAGCACTGTTGTCTTTGTAGACGACACATGTCACGTAGTTAATAGGGCCAGCGTGTCATAGTTGAGCGGGCTCTCTTTTCGAGCAAGTAACAGATTCATTAAAAAGGAGACCTGTCGAGCATTATCCATGACTGCTAGCTGTGGCTGTGACGTGGCGTGGACCCTGCATTGCGCTTAGAGTTGCCGAAATGACGTCGCGCAACGCGTTCCTTCCGGCGAGGCAGCTGGGCAGACGGTCGCTGATGGCAGTCCTCATCGCTGCCTCTGCGGACAAAACCATGAGACCCACACACCACCATGGCTCACCTCTTGCGTGGAAAGCAGGCCGGTGTCAGCAACGACCTCTCCCTGGGCCTGGGCCCTGATTCATTCGTGCTCGACCATGTACGCGCCTGCTGTCTTCTCGCCCCGCCGTTCCCCCAGCCCTCTACGCGCAAGCTAACAGCACGTGAAGATCCGCAACTACGGCATCAACTCCAAAGTCACCCAGGTCGCATACGACCCCGTCCAATCCCTCCTCGCCGTCGGCACGAGCGACAGCAAGTATGGTCCCGGCCAGATCTACATATTCGGACAGAAGAGGGTCGAAGTGGTGCTGTCGCTGCCCACGCGCAACGCCTCGATCAAGATCCTGCAGTTTTGCGCCGAGAAGCTGCTGTGCGTAGACTCAAAGAACGACTTGTCCGTCTTTTCGCTCGAGACGAAGAAGCTGCTCAACGCCCACTCCCCTCCCGCCCGCATTACGGCGCTGCACTGCGACCCTACCATCGATTACGCGCTGCTCGGTACACAGCACGGTGAGGTGTACGCCTATGATCTGGCTAGGGAGGCACTTACGCCCTTCAAGATTCCCAACTTGTGGAGGGAGAAATTCCCTCGCTCGCGCCTGACCTCCGTTGTTACGCTCTCACTCCACCCTCGAGATATCGGCTCCCTCCTGATTGGGTACAACTCCGGCGCAGTCATCTACTCGTTCAAGCAAAACAAAGCCCTGCATTTCTTCAACTATGTGGTCCCCAAGGGAGCCCCTGGAGGTGACTCGGATCCAGTCTCCGTCTCCAAGGATCGCGAACCTCCGCTTACCCAGGCTGTCTGGCACCCAACCGGCACTTTTGTTCTGACTGGACACGAAGACAGCAGTATCGTTATATGGGATTCCAAGGATGGCCGCATCGTACAAGCGAGAACCTTGACCGATACAAACGTAGACAAGCCCGGTCCAGGCAGCTTCAGCCCAGGTGCCGTTGAAGGATCGTTTGCACTCAAGTCCCCCATCTTCAAGATTGCGTGGTGTGCGAATCAGGACCCTGACGATACCGCTATCCTCATCGCTGGTGGACAGCCATCCAACATCTCCGCCAAAAGTCTGACGCTTTTCGAGCTGGGTAGAACACCGGTTTACGCGACCGCATCCTGGCAAGTACTATCCGATCACTTCGAGAATCCCAAGAGGCAAAGGATACTTCCATGCCCGCCTGGGACCGAGGTGGTGGACTTGTTCCTCATTCCAAGGACGTCCCCTCATTACGCTGGCTGCCACGACCCCATTGCCATTCTCGCCTTACTTGCATCTGGGGAGTTGATCACTCTCTCTTTTCCAAGCGGAATGCCCATCACGCCAACTAATCAACTGCACCTCTCCATGACGCTTGTTCATCCGTATATCAATTATGCAAATCTCGCGCCTGTAGAGCGTACACGGTGGCTTGGCATGACCGAGAAGCGCCAACACGGTCCGCAATTCCTCATCGGTGGTGCCGAGGCTGTTCATCCCCTCAAGCGGTTTGAGAACCGAAACATCGTGCAGACTGCTCATGCAGATGGCACGATCAGACTATGGGACGCAGGACATGCCGATGAGATTGAGAACCCTGCATTGCTACAGGTAGACGTAGCTCGAGCAGTCGGCCGCCCAGAGCATATACACGTCACACAAACTTCGTTCGCAGGCGCAGCATCTGAACTATCCGTAGGGCTGAAGAGTGGTGAAGTAGTAGTGTTCAGATGGGGTGTAAACAGGCATGCTGGACAGGAGTACCCACCCGGTGACAACAAACCGCAAGCGCTTACCAATATCTCGGAAAGAAGTGAAGCGGCTCTCAAAGAGGGACTGCTGCCTTTCACTTTGCTTGACGAGGGCAATGGACCAGTCACCGCCTTGAAACATTCTGATGTTGGCTTTGTTGCTGCGGGCTTTGAGGGTGGCAGTCTGGCCATCATTGATTTGCGAGGGCCCGCTGTTATCTACAGAGCGTCGATACAGGAATTTGTCAAGCCGGACAAACGCGCCAGCTTCCGACGGAGTTCAACGCAGGCAGCACCCAAAGCGGAGTGGCCCACTTGCCTCGAGTTCAGTGTTATGACACTCGAAGATGACGACTATTCCAGCATTCTACTTCACGTCGGTACTAATCTTGGCCACCTGGCAACCTTCAAGCTACTGCCAGAATCAAGTGGCCAGTACTCAGTAAAACCTGCGGGTGTGTGCTCGCTTGACGACAAGGTTATCAGCATCAGCCCCATGCACGCCGAAACTGGTCGCCCAGCATATGCTTCGCAGTCTGCCGTTGCTGGACTTCGGACTGGCTCGAAGATTAGCGGCGTCCTTTTAGCCACAACAGCCTCAGGCGCGAGGTTATTCCGTCCCGCCACGAGTAAAGGAGCGCACAAAACCTTTGATCAGTTCTTGTGCGATGCTGCGACTGTAGTGAGGTACGAAGACAAGGGCTACGCAATGCTTGGGTTGTATGGAGATGGATATGCGAGAGCGCATTCGCTACCTGCATTGAAGGAGATCGGGTCTGTCAACCTCAGTGATTTCTTAGACATCAGGCGCTTCTCTGAGGCAGTCATTACAAGTACTGGCGACATCTTTGGCTGGAAAGGGCCTGCGGAAATGGCTCTTGTCAACGTCTTTGGAACGGGACTGCAATAGTAAGTCGACTCATCTCCCCAGCCATGACATATGTACTGACCAAATCTAGTGAACGTGCGAAGGATGTCTTGCTTAACCCAGAACTTTTGATTCCGCCCCGACCCACTATCAGCAATATTCAATGGATCTCTGGCACCCAATATGTAACACCAGCCGACATGGATCTTCTCAGTAAGCTATTCTTACTTCTATTCCCAACCAATCACTGACTTCTCTTAGTTGGTGGTCCTGATAGGCCCTTATCAAATCGTCAAATGGCGCAGCAGCGAGCAGAGGCAGAGCAGGAACGACGCCGCGCCAATCCGACCGCAGCCAGCTCTTCTGCCGCTGGATATCAGTCCTATCCTACCCAAGTATCCCCGACTCAAGAAGGATGGGGTGCTTGGGCGAGTCGCCAGCTCAACGAGCGTACGGAGAAGCTCAACATTGTTGGGGATAGTATGGACAATCTTTCGCAAAACAGTGCAGGTTGGGCAAATGACGTCAACAAGTTTGTCGGAAAGCAGAAGAGAGGGCTAGTCATGGGTGCTATGAAGAGCAAATTCGGATTTTGAGTCGGAAACATCCCATGGAAACATGATACAGGATGGTACAAGGCTATATAGCTACAATGAAGATTTCGAATACGAGCTGGGCGTTCTATGGAGCGATTCCGGACTCCTAGACTTTTCATGTTAACTGCAGGGAGAAGTCGCGGCCTACTTCTAGTGCTTGTAATGCAAGATTTGATTGTGATACCATGAATCTTAAATGACCACGTCCGTTGCATCCAAAACCGGTATCCATCTCGCCAGTTCCTGCCCTTCGTCAGCGGCCCCGGCTAGCGCAAGGCAACTTCCTCAACCGTGCGCTACCCTGCTGCACATTGACACACCACCACTTCCTATAATCACATCGAAACGAGAAAGCAAACCTTCTTCACAACAATGAGTTTTTGCAGTGGCATCCGGCAATGGCTCCCAAGCATACATTGGCTGCTAGGCCCACCCGAACCAACTCGCCCTTTCACACCAACCTACGCCGACGTGTGTCGCGCCCGCGCCGTGCTCAAGACCCTCAAACTACCCACCGAGCTGGTCCTCAGCATACTAGAGCACGCGCAATACTGGCCCGTCGAACGGATTTCCCGGTCAGGCGGAACCGTCCTCGCCCGCGCCGGAATGAATAACCCGTCGGCAGCAACTCTCTGTCTCGAAGCCAACCCCTACTCCACGCCCATTGTGAAAGAAGCCAGCCTAGGCGGCGAAACAGCAAAGATCAAGCGCATCGATTTTGACATCACGAGTAGAGACCAAGGCTGGACGAGCGAAAATACGCAGGGTACTTTTTCCACCTCTTCATGGCTTGAGGTGTCCATCTTGCGCGATGCATCGAACATCAATAGTCTGCTTCCTACTCCGCGGTTGGTGAATACTTGGATTAGCAGTCCGATGGATTATCATACTAATATGGTGGGGCGCGGTTGGTCGCTTGTCAAGAGGCCCGAGAGTGCGCTGCAAGGCCCGCAGGGTGGTGAGGGGCATTCTGCTTGGTACCTACAGGGTAATCGTGTTATGGCTGGTACTCAGGACTATCATGTTTCCTGGGACGAAGGTGGTTTGTGTGAGGTTGATGAGGGTAACGAGGGTGCGGGGAGTGGAGAAGGCTTCTTGGATGCGTTGGAGCCGGATGATCGTGTGTTGGTTTGGGCGAGGGCCAAGGTATGTTTGAGATGCGAGATTCGGAGGCTTCGTTGCCATGCTAACATATTTTGACAGTATCCAGGGTGGCAATGCATTGTTGACGGTGTCAGCGTTAATGTTCACTACGGCTTCTAAGGCTCAGACTGTTAGGAACCTCCTCTACCTAATCTGGGTTTACGTCATTCTACTTGTACGAGGAGTTAGCTAATGGTCGTTTTGTTCACGTTATAGCTGTTTCATGCTTAAGTTGTAGGACCGGCTCTATTTCAGGATAATGATCGCATTCATGTGAGTCTCTGGTTTCATCCACGCCGCCTCGCTGCCCGCGCAGAACTACTCCCAAAGACACGATCCGATGAGAATAACTCTACGCAAACCAGCCGACCCATGTGCATCTAAGCAGTTGACTTTTCCTATCCCAGAAAAGGCGCTCATCGCTGCGCAGCACAAACTCAATGTCCGTAATACCCAGACCCTAGCTTCCGACCCGTCGTCAGAACGATATATCGAAGAAGAAACGCTCCTTCATCGCACACGCTCCAGCTTCGGCGGCCATGCTATCCATAGGCTGGTGAGCCGTCTTATTTGGTATCATCCTCATCCTTCTTGGCAACTTCCTTCTTCTCTTTGCCCTTCTTGGCATCGTTGTCCATCACGATCTTCATCTGCCTGAGATACACGCCGAACTCTCCAAAGCTAGTCAGATCCATGCCCTTGGTAGTGTTGGTGAGTTTCTCAGCGGCAGACTTGAGACGGCTGTTGCGCTCGTTGAGGTTGAGGTAATTCTTCCTGAGGTTCTCCGCTTTCTGCTGGTCGGTGAGTTCTCCGGGCGTGTTGACTGAGGACGGGGCTGGAGAAGGGAGATAGACGGCTTGAGAGGCTTGGGAGGACTCCGGGGTGAAGATCGAGGGGTATGCCGGCGCCTGGGGTACCTGCGAAGACGTGAACGTGAACTTGCGCGCGGCGGAGGCTCGGAGGCTCTCGTTCTCTGCTTGAAGGCGTTGGTTTTCTTGGACGAGGTAGTTGTTAGCGGAACCCTTGGTGTTCATGACGTCTTCGAGTATGCGCTCATGTTCCGCCTTCTCATCTTTTCTCAGTTGTTTCTCGCTCTGAAGCTCTCCGATTAGCTGGTCTTTCCTTGCGGTGACGTTGTCGAGTTTGACGCCCAGCCTGTCTCTGTCCAGGTTCGCCTTTAGCAGGTTCTCTCGTTCGGTCTCGAGATCGCGGTGAAGGGTTTGGAGCTGTTGATCAGTTGCGTTGTTGGAGTGGAGTTGGGCCAAATCACGATCGCTCTGTGCCTTCTCGTGGAGTAGGTTCTGTCGGGCGAGCTCGGCCTTGACGGCGTCGACTTCAGGACGCGACTGTTCTTGCTCGTTAGCATGCTTCTCCTCCGAATCCGCCATGTTGTCTTGAGGTTTGTGCCGTAGACGTGGAGGTGCACTGTAGAGGTTGGCCGGGCTTGTGGGAGGAGAGATGCCGCCGAAGTCCCATCTAGGAAGTCGGTCGAAAATCGAAAGTCCTGGCCTTGATTCGAGGTGAATGGGTTCTGGAGTCACCATGGAATCAGAGATACTGGGCTTGGCGTCCTCGTCAATGTCGACTTTCGATCCATGCAATTCCGCGGTCACTTCCTCTTTACGAGTAATTATTCGTTGTCGCACGTGCTGATATCCGTCGTCTTCACTGTCGGATAGAGTGATGAGGTCGACTTCCTTGCCAGCCGTCGTCGACCACATAGTTGACATGGTGTTGCCCATGCTGCCCTTGTCGTCCAGCTTTCTCTTGCTGTTTGCCTCGGTCTTCTGACGTTTCGCTGCTCGTGGAGTCACACGCGCGGGTGTATTGCGCTTCTTTGATTTTTTTAGGGTAGCCTTTCCAGTGTTCTTAGTTTGTGTTTGCTTAGTCGGCTGTGCTCGTTTTCCACTCACTGTAGGTTTCTTCGGTACCATGGTGGGCTTCAAGTGGCCAGGATGTGCTTCTTTGAGATGATGCACATGAGTCCTGGAGGGTATCGGCGAGTTGTAATGAGAACGAGCTTCACTCTGTCGCGCAGTTGATCTAGTCTCTTCTGTGTCGACTGTCTGTGCTGTCCGAGGTATCGTGGAGTTAGGCGGTTTATGCTGGTATACCTTTTGGCGATCGAATAGTAAACTAGCAAACAGACCAGATACAGGCAGGGCTTGTGAGGGTGCTGGCGTCGTTGCTTTTGATGTTGGAGTCCCAACGGAAGGATTAGGTGAAGCTGCGGACTTGCGACTACTTCGGCTTTGGCTTATAGATAAGCGCTCGCGAGCGGTCTGGTAATCGCAGGTAAGATTAGTGTTGGATCCCATCTTTCAATCTTGAGAGATTTTTGTCTGTATCGTATCGTACGCAACAACGGTACAGGTGAGAGGGCAGCTTGAGCAGTAGAGAACGTACGTGTAGTAGTTGAAGTGTTGCACATGCAAACTTCGATGGATGCTGCCTTGCACTATGCCTCAACAACTAGGTAGCAGAGCGGTGAGAGAGTCGTCGGAGGCGAGTATGCTGTTTGCCGGCGTCTGTCACATGTCCCGGCAGTGCTTCGCGACGTCAGAGAAGATTGGAGGAACTTAAACTGGAGAAGAATGAGATCTATCTTTTAAAGACCCGAGAGGGTTGACAGTCATTACAAGGTAGCGGGTAGCGGGTAGCGGGTAAAGGTGACCTTCCGGCGAGCCGCGTTCGATAAGGCGTCCGATCGATTTAACTCACCTATGCCCAGATTGATCTGCTCCCACACTTAACATTGAATGGCTGCTTTACACGGGTGTCTCTTTGCCATTGAGGTGCTGTCCATAACATGTTAGTCGTGATTGGCATACTCAAATACTTGGAGGAACACCATGTACTACGGGTTGTAAGGAAACGCCTTCGATTACAAACATGCTATACGCCCACTCCTCTAATATGTGGTATGCAACGACTACTCCGTGAAGTGTACCCATAATGCCTACATGCGCCGACCAAGCAACCTCGTCACTCGTTATGTCGTAAGAAAAGATAAGCGGAAAGTCGAACGCAAATCGCTAAAGCATCTATCAAGAAAGGAAGAAAAGGTTGGTACAAGAAGGGAAAAGCCACCGCATAGGAAATGTACTAATACATCTCCTCTTCTCTCTCTTTGCCACTGCCATTAGTGTGTCTCACGCTGCCAACCACACTGGCACGTCCACTTCCACCGATGCGACTGCCACTCGCAGACGCAGTCCTTTGGACATCATCTGGGCCATCTTCGTCTCGACGGTCCCTCTCCTTCTCAAGCGCAGCCCTGAGGTCCGCATTCTCTTCTACCTTCTGCTCTAATCTCTTACGGGCACCGCTTCGGTCAAGGAGTCGGGCTTCACGCTCAGCTTTCAAACGCCGTTCGAGTTCCTTAAGTCGATGTATCCACTTCTGTTCGCTTGGCTGAAGCGGTCCAGCGGCGGGATAGGGATGGCCTGGCGTCGGCGTCGACGAATTCGAAGTCGAAAAATGCTCCACGACAGAAGCGGAGTGAGCACGCAATAGTGTTTGCGCCATACTGGCACGTTTGGAGGAGGTCGGCGAGGCAGCACGTGATGGTGAGCGGCTGACAATAACATCGTTACCGGATTGCGTTGTGGCGGTAATGGCGCGGAGGGTCTGGACCTCGGATCGTAAGGTCTTGTTCTCAGTACGCAGTTTGTTGACTTCCGCGGTGTTGAGGTCGACGATACCGCCACGGACAGTGCTAGGTCTTCCAATCGATTGCCGTTGGGCCATTACAAGCTTCTCGAGCTGGTCAAGTCGCTTGGCGCGAGAGTCTAGACTATGCTCGAGAGTTTGGTAGTCGCGGATCAGATTGTTTTCTATGTTGCGAATTCTTTGCT